CATAGCCACCCTCGCCGCGTCCACGCCCACGGCCCTCGCCACGCCCGCGACCACGGCCCTCGCCACGTCCGCGACCGCGGCCACCCTCACGATCCGGGAGCTTATCGGCCTTGTGCGTGTTGGGCACGATCTCAGGGGCAAGGTACAGGTACTTGCGCAGGTACTCCACACCCTCGTCATTGAGGAACCAGTAGAACTGGCGCCAGGCGAACTGCTCCTTGAGGAGGCCGCGGCTCTTCATGGAGCGCATCAGCTGCATCACCTGAACCGTGGGGACCTTAAATGCCTTCCCACCGCAGGTGCCCGTCCATGTGCCCATGGGGTCCTTCTTGCAGGAGATGACGCCCTCCGTGAAGAAGAAGCGGTACACGTCGTCACGCGCGCTCTTGGGGACGTATGTGGCCATCTTTTCTGATGAGCTTGATAACACGAAGAGAGTATAGAATGAGGGAGGGGAAGAATTTGATATCAGAAGAGAAAGCATTCTTTATACAGCATTTGGGAGTACATCTAAATATACAGCACAACGCACATTGGATCTGAGGAAACATATAACTGCCACAGCGTAGGTGATACTGTCTCCTATTCTCCCAATTGCACACCGGCCACCAAATTCCCTCTTTTTTCTCCCTTGAGCAACACTACAGCTTCGTACCCTGGCTCATACTAATGTGCATGGCCAAGTTGAAGAGCTCATCGCCGGCCTCCATGCACTCCCGGCACGCGGAAAGAAAGTACACATCCCGCTCGTCGATGCTAATAAACCCACCCTGCTCTCCCTTTGGCACATCCACAACGAAACGGCCCAGCTCGTAGAACATCTCTGTTAGGTCTTCGATCTGTTCAAGAGAAATGACGAAGGCTTCATCCATGCTCCACACGCGACCCTTTTGCTCTAACTGAAGTGTGGATGCTTCTTGATCAACTTGAACCTTCAGTATCTTGCGCCCGTTGTCAAGGTTCACCTCAAAGGAGTGGGTAAACTGCAGTCGCAGTGCAGCTCGGTCACGTTCTGCCTTGCGCTGAGAGAGGAATTCCAGCAGGACACGTTCCGCCTCTACCTCTGTTTTAGGATCCTTCTCACAAAGGTGCTCGGCCAGCTCGGAAAAAAGGCTCTGAAGGTTATGCTTCTCTGCGTACGCTGCGTTTGCGCGCTCCTCCTCGTCTTGAATGTCGTTAACACGAATGCGATTCCGCGACGCGTTGAATATGTCAGGGGATTTTGACGCCGACATTTCGAAAGTAATCCCTTTTCACTAATTGCTCTCACGATGAAAATGTTTTGGGGAAGAAAATACTCGCCACTTCCAAGCCCCCGGTGCGACTGCAACACCAGCTTAAAGCGTGAGAAGCAGCAAACGACAGTTCTTTTCCTCATTCAGGAACCCCATTAACATGCAGAAATTTCCATGTGTTTTTTTTTCTTTTCTTTCTCTTCACAGTGTTGGTTTGAGTGCATGCGTTGGGGGGAGAGAGATGTTCGGCCGGCCTTCAGCTCGAGGCGCAGCACAGACACACACACACACACACACACACACACGGAAAATGAGCACACCACTACGCGAAGCACAGCCGCACATATATATATTTGGGAACGAGGGAGAGCGCGCATCTATACCCTCTCGCAGAATAAGACTTTACACACACACACACACACACACACACACACAGAAACAAAGAAGCAAACAAACAAAGAGCGGGCCCGAGGAGGTGGGAGGAAAATGGGGATTTTCCCTGCGGCCCGCCTGGCCGAAGACAACAATGCTTTCCTAATATGTCCCTCTCCCTCTCTCTCCCTCTCTCTCTCTCTCTCCAAGGAACAGAAGCCACAACAGACTCCCAGAATCTTGGGCGTTTCCAAAAAAAAAAAGTGTATAGAATACGTTCGGCGTTCCCTTCCCGTACGGCTCAAACATGACAACACGAACAGGACACAGCACCTACAGGAGTGGGGAGGGTAGTGGTAGCACTCGTACGAGTAAAAAAAAAACATATTAACATACAAAACACAGAAAGACATGATAAGTGTTCATCGTGTTTCTTTTTTTTTTTTTGGTCTCTTCTTCCCAAACACACAGAAACAACAAACCGCAGGTTTTCTCAAACAGTCACAACAGGTCATCGAAAACGATTACATATCAATGATACAGAAGATGAACAAACAATAAGCCGTTTTGCCTCCGGCGCCTCCCAAGGACGGGGTGTGTTTGGAAGAGGGGCGCCCTATCCCCACTTCGACTGATATCAACACGAAAAGGCTTCGGAAGAATATATAATAGAAACTTTCCACGTATATATAGGCTTCATATGGCAACCTTAGCGCACCGAGTTGTACCCTAAACCATCTTTCCCATTCAAAATACCAGCAGAAACATTTTCGAACATCATCTGTCCACGCACCACATCCAATAATTTGTCATGCTGCAAGCTACTCGGTCTGCTGGCTTTTCGTATGAGCTCTGCATACTTCCTTTCAAAGTAGTTGTCGGCCATACCTCCTATATTTCCGCATCGAACACGTTGTGTGGTAAAATCGTCTGGCCTCCGTGTCAAGGCATCATCGATAAGCGAATCAGAAGATGATACATTTACAGAAGCCGTTGAGTATGTTGAACAAGTGCGCCTTGAGAAGCGCACTGAATCGGGTGTGATAGGGGGTGTTACCACCGGCATTGCTTCACACTGGGGATGATCCGTGGTGCTTGGCCATGTGTCTATTGCAGGTTTGCAATGGTAAATATCATCGTCCACTGCATAGTGGGAGACACATCCCAGTAAATCATGTTCGTTCAACCGCACCACATCTGTTGCCGCCTCAATACGCTTCAGAACATCTTCACAACTTTCTGATTCCTTCTTTAGTCTTTCCAATTTCCCCAGCAGCCTAGAACAATATGAGTGTACCAGTTTCTGACGGCAAAATGTCTCTTCCACGTGGAGGTCCAAAATGGGACCAAAGAACCAGTCAAGGGACCTCTGGTGCAGCAAGCATGCATACTCTCCTTGCCAAAGTTTTCGTTTGACCCAACGGACGTTAGCGGAGAAGTCTAACTCTTGTTCCCTGCAGAGGGTTGTGCGCCTCGTATTCTCCAACAAAACAAGAGCGTGAGGATCCTTTTCGGGCATGATCCGCTGGCTATCACCATTCGATATTTCCCCTTGTGGCGCTTCTCCAGTGCATTCCATGTCAGATTGACCTCGCTCATCTCCGTAGCAACCACCCACTATTGTCTCACGAAAGTCAGGGACAGTGCTTGGGCCGGCCAAGTCTTGGAATGTATTGTCCAAATTCATCTTGCCTTTGATCTCCGAAAACAGCTCCATTGGATTACTGGTGTCGTCCCTTTTAAGGGCTTCACCATAGCCACCCGTGGGGCACGTAACCTTCACGTAGACACGGCTCAGCATACAATGCGTACATACTGCAGCAAATGAAAATACACATGCCATAGCGGAGAGTATTGTTGCTGCAGTAAGAGCCTTAAAGGAGTATCCCGTTTTACAAGAGGTGCTATACTCACTACCTGGAAGAAGGTCGAACAGTTTCTGCATGGCTGCATGGTGTGCCTCACAGAATGATATACGGCATTTCAGCCTATGGAAATGCAAGTCCCGTACCATACATGCTGCAATGATGAAAAAAACAGTTCCTATGAAAATAATCACACTCAGTGCGATTACGAAGTTGCGCTCCCGTCGCTTGTGCTCAGACAACAACTTCATTGGCTCTTTCAATTTGCCGTGTTTGTTTTTGAACTTCACTTCCCAGATCCCATGGATCATAGTTGTGTTTTCAACCGAGAATGTAAATGCCTCTGTGATGAATACGAATAGCAAAGCAGCCACGACCACGGTGCCAGCCGAGCATACTATCCCAAAAGATATCGCCACAACAACGAACTTACACCTCGACATGATTGCCACGGCGGAATCACCTCCACATGATTCCGATGCGGCGTAGCCAAACTCAAGGGCATCACTCCGCGCCTTGACGTATGCGTTTCGAACCTCCATTGGAAGAAGCGGATCCACCGCAATGGACGAATCTTGCAGCGGGGACATTGGAAGCAAATTCCACTTCTCCCGGGAGAAGGAAGACGTCCCAACCATAAAATAAAGCAGACCCAACTTGGCGTTAAATTGCGGAATCAACAGTATCGGCTGCTGCTGCTGTGGGGCCACGGTGCCGTTTTGTGTAGGCGCATACCAAACATTTGTCGCGGTCGAGAGCACGATGTAGTCGTTCGAGATGGCGGTCATCATTCCAAGGGTGGCGGTGGCGATGGCACACAAGAGAACGCCTGCAACGCACATCGGCAGGACCCCACCGCGCACAAGACTCGACGGAAGCCCGCGGAACTCACCGGGTCGCAATGAGCCGCTCATCACACCCTCTATATATAAAGCCCTTGTTTTTTTTTGGTTTCGCATTTTGAGTCATGGCAAACGATTCAAATAGAAACAAAACGGAACAAGAGAAAAATTATGTGCACAAGGAAAAAGGAAACTCGACACAGATTTCATGCAAACAACAACAGCAAAACACACACACACACACACACAAAAGGATTCATGCCATCTAGGAGGGTAAAAGTAAGAAAAACATGTTCAAAACACAGATGCAAGAGCATTTATCTTTTTTTTTTTGTGCCTTCGCTTCTTTTTGGGGGTGGTGGGGGTTTCTCGCCTCTTTTCTATACATGAAAACACAGCTGAAGCAGAGAGGCCGACCACGTAAACAATACATCATGACTAGAGGGCGCGACTCACTGTCGCAACGGCTCACATTTAAGAGTTGAGCGCACAAACAAGAGCAACACCGCGTTTTATCCAATGTTTGGGGTCAACCGCTGTGGGTATCTCCATCGTGAGCACATAGTTTGTGGAGTGGCCAGTGGTACTTAGTGTGCCGGCACGACGAAGAGTCTTGTAAAGTGGGCACACATACACATCATCCTTTGGCTTCTCCCTATTGATGACAGGGTTCAGCCACAACATCGGGACCCTTTCAAAAAGCACATTTGGCATCGACTCCGCCAATTGCATTGTGTGCCGGTCAATCCGAGCACCCTCAATAAAGATGCCATGCACGTAACAGCCCGTTTCCGGTGGGGCTGTCACAGCGCTTGGTTCTATATGCATCCACTCAAAGCTGTAGCTCACGGTATCGATAGAGATTTTCATCTTACGAGCAAAGTTCTGCAGGATGCCTGTAAGGAAAGCCTGTGGAAAGAAAAATCCTGAGATCCAGTATGCGTTCGGGTGCCCATTTTCGTACCACGACTCGATCATCGCCAACCGCTGCACCAAATCATCCACCCATGAGCCAAGTGGCTTCAGACTTGGGTACGCACGCTCCGCCCACATTCCAGGTACTTGGTTGTTATAAATGCAGCGGTACACCTCCTCCAGCTCGCGGCTCATCAGCACCTCACCCTTAATGGCCAGCGGGAGTGCCTCAAGAGTCTCCTTCACTACCACTGTAAGACGATTGAACCGAATGGCTTCCTGCACAAGCACGGTATTCATTGAGTCCTCATACATTGTTGGGTACTTCTTGTGGAACACATCAATATTAAAGGGATCACTCACCCTGCTTCGGATGAGCTCAGTTAGCTCCACGACGACCTCATCGGGTGATTTTCCCTGGGCGCTTTTCTGTATTGACTCACCCTGTAGGGCAAGTATAGCTTCTAACGTCCCAAACGTCTCGTTGCGTGCGCACGTAATGTCAGCATTTTCATGCAGTCCAAATACCTCTGGATTGGTGCTGAGAGGCCAGGATTCGATATATTCCACGTAGTCATTTTGTGACCCAGCCCGTATAGAGGAGAATACCCCTGATGGAGAGAAATGATAATTGTCCTCCATGACATCAGGGGTGACAAAAACCTCAAGCAGTGTAATCAGCGTTCGTCTGTCCCAGTCATCTGTGACACGACCACCGTAGTGAATGTTGCCACTTAGCTCTTTAATGACCTTGTACGGAACCTCAGCATACTTCTCAAGGAACATGCGAATCTGCGCGACACAGCATCCCAAGTCTCCAGATGTGTACTCGTACGGAATGTTCCATCCCAGTGGGCCAAATTTTCGACGTTCCTGAATAAGAGCATGAAAGAAAGACATGGCAAAGAAGAGCTTTTTAAACTCCTTTGGTTTACTACACGTCTCTAAGTACTCGCCACGGTAGCTCAACACAGAGCGTGTAACGTTAGCCTGCATACCCTTTGGCGGTTCATTGGTGATCTTCACACCATTCTGCAGAACTGAAACAGGGAAGTGTGGGCTCGGCATAGAAGTAAGCCAAAGACGGAAGGAAGGATGAATACCAACTCCCATCGCCTCCACAAGCCGCTCCAAGGTTGGCATCCACGACGTAGCTAAGTGACAGTTCTGAAGAAGCACCCATGTACCATTTTCCATGCCTTCTTGAAGCATACGCTCGGCGCGGGGCCCTTGTCCTTGACCTAATGAAATGTCAGAGAGTTTCTTCCCCATATTCTGCTGTTCGGCAAACTTTTTCCAATCCTCAAAAGGATCCGCACCCTGGGAAAGAATAAAGATAAGCGGTGCAGTCGCGCTAGACTCCTTGAAGGATGTTAGGAGATCGAATGGAGGAGGACGGATGAATCGCTCACCAAGATTGTCCCTGACGAAGTCCTGCACCGCCTCCATCAACTTGTCTGGACGGATACAACGGAGGAACATCATACGCTCCATGGCGGTAAGCCGCTGCTCAAACACGCCCTTCAGTTTCTCCTTGTGAGCTGAAGATGACAAGAATATGCCACGGTAGTGTTCCACATTTTCGGCAATGTGCCCAGCAATACCCTTGAAGCAGGCAAAGTTAGCCGAAAGGTAACAAATGTCCACCCACGTTGACTCAGTGAGCCACGAGGGCGCCGGATTCGGCTGCGTCTTGGATGTCATTGAAGGACCCTGAAGGAGGAAGCGGAACTCTCCTTCATCAATGCCATTGCTCTGCTGCAATATTCGTACACAGAGGAAGAAGGAGAACATAATCTTATGTTTCTCAAAGAGTGAACGACTGATATTTTGATAGAAACTATACGTGAAGTAATCCTGGAGGTTCTTCAACCGTTCAGCGAGATCGTCGGATGCTTCTGAGGCCTCAATGCCGTTGATGAATAGCCGCACAAACCACTGCAACGAGTACTGATACATAGGGTCCACATTTGACAGCGTCGCACAGCAGAAGTACAAACACGAAGAGTGACGCGAAACAGGGCGGTACAGCTCACGACTTGCGTTAATCTCCACTTCAGCTTCCTCAGCTTCTGCAACCTTGGTCTTAATCTCGTCCGTGGTAGTCTTTGACTGGTTCAAATACTGAATGAGGCTCTCATCATCTAAGATGTCACCCGTGACCTCCTCCATCTTGCGCAAAATAGTCTTCTGGATATCAGCGACCTCAGCACGCATGGCGGCGTTCGTCTTGATCAAGTCACTCCGACGCATCTCCAGCTCCTTCCGCTCCTGCCCAACAACAACGCCAAGGAGCTGATCCTCCAGACCCTGCGGTGTGATGAAGAAATTTAGGAGTGTTACCTGCACCATCACTTCTGGGATGTAGTGTGGGTTTGGCAACTTCGTGGTCATGTAGAATTTAAACTCGGGGTTCCATGGGATGGCGTGCTCGGACAAGCGAATCATCTCTTGACCACCCTGCGTAAATGTCTGTTTCGCGAGAAGTGGAGCGAGGGTTGCATCAATGCTTTCGCCAACATTCTCCAACAAGACAGCCCGACCGGAGCGGACGGCATACTCAATGCGCTTCACCACATCCTTCTGACTGGGCTTCAAGATCTCCATGCCCTCTGGGTACATCTGCCGAATCCATTTATTCGCCTGCGTCTGTGGATCAATCATGAGCGGCCAGCGGCGAGCGTTGGTCATGATGATGGCATTCTCCACTGACAGTGCATCAGTTGGTAAGCCGTTAACATTCCAGCTCTCTGTGAGAATTGGATCCCGTAACGAGTGATACACAGAGAGGTGTGGACTGTGCATGATGTTATGCTTGTCCAACTCACCCCTCCATAGTTGCAACAGGTCGTTTCGGTAGGATGCTGTGAACGGCCCAACGTATGCAATCTGCCCTGCTGCCACAATCATGTCGCCCAAGAGATACTTGAAGTTCTCTTCAATTTCCTGTAGAGTGTTTGTCCAGTTCTTCTTCTCACCTTCCAGACCGTCAATCAACATCGACGCACGTCCAAGTTTGATCTCTGTCGTTTTCACAACTTGTTCAAGTTCCTGCATTTCATTTTCCGCACGCGTCTTGTCAGCCTGCAATTTCTCAAGCTTTATGGCTACCGCCTCTAGCCGTGCCTGCGCCATACGGAGTTTCTCCAGGAATACACGGTTGTCATCTTGCGCAATGGCCAAGCGTTTACGCAACGGCTCCACCTTCTTGTTCACCTCGTGAAACTTCACCATGGCATGGGTCCACTGGCACATTGCGGCACAGGCCTGACTGGCACCTGCAATCTTCTTGGGCGTAAAGTCTTCCGACGAAACCATCGGCATGACGGCTTGAATAAGTCGCTCAGGGATGTGCTCTTTGTCATAGTTAATCAAACGCTGCATCAAAGCATTCGGGTTGTTCAACAGCTGCTCCTTAGCGGTAGCCCAGTAATCCGGTTTCTTTTCCTCCATGGGCCCACCCGCACGCATAACCGGTTTGAGCTGAAAGAGAATGGCAATGCCCTGCATCGTCATGACAACTCCAGGCGTAGGGGCTTTGTAGCCAGCCACCTCCGTAATCTGTGAGGACTTCAAGTTAGCCAGACTTGCCAAAGCACGATCGAGCTCGGGTAATGCCTCGCTAAGTTGCTCCTGCGCTTCAGCTTCAATAGCAGCACACTCGCGCTGCTTAGCCGCAACTGCCGCCTCCTCTTTTTCAGCTTCCTGTTTTGTCTCCTCCGCCGACGCTGTTTGAATGGTAATCTCCTCCATGAGTTTCTTGATCGATTCACCCTTTTGAATCAAGATCGGCTGATTCTTCTCCAGTGTCTGCTGCAGTCCAGCCACTGCATTCTCCGTCTCACGCAGCTTCTTCATACCATTCTGCAGACGATGCTTCGTCTTGTTTGCTGCCTCCGTCTGAGACTCTAAAAGTCGCTTAAAGGTATGAAGCAGCTCCAAGAAGGAAGTCGGCGTCACGTACGTGTGGCGTCGGGTCTCCGCCAGGAAGCGTCCCGAAATCTGTTCCACACTCTGATGAATAGTTACGCACAACTCTGTGCAGCTGTCCACATCTCCCGGTTTCAGTAGCTCCAGATTACTAAAGTAGTTGTGGGCGACACTCCGGAGCGCCTGTGTGGGCCATGCAGTGAACCAGTCGATAGTGCAGCAGTTGACGAGGGCAGGGAACATGCGGAGTCGATTGCGGAATGTCTCCCCAAGCGGAGACATACAGAGAGATACATGTAGGTTGAACTTGCAGAACTTCACAAATCGGGCGTACATACCTACCTTATCGAGGTGAATACCTTCCGCAATGCAGACAGGTTTCATGGCATTAAAGACTTCGTCCAAATCAGGTCCTACAAAAAGGTTTGGCACTTCTCCAGAGTTGAGGAGGTTGTTGACGTCCTCTAACATGGACTCATGCACAATCTGTGTATCGGTGAAGAGGAACAACACCTGCTTATTGTGGAATGCGACTCGTCGAAGTGCCGTCTTGATATCTTCACGCCAGCTGTTCATGGAGTATCCCTTGGAGATCTCCACCTGAAACACTTCAAATTCATTGAGGAACGCGGCAATGCGAGACAACGATTGACGACCAGAGCCACCAACACCGAGCAGCAAAACATGTCCGTTTGGTTTTCGAATAACACGTGCAATCCTACAAATGTGCTCAACAGCGTAGGCGAACATCACAAGATTCATCTTGTGGAAGGAAACATTGTTGTACTCCGTCAGCTTCCCCTCCAGTGTCTTGACGAGATCCGCGGGACTCTGCACTTCCTCGTACAGCAGCTGATCTGATCTTGTATTGATAAAATCAACGAATAAGAGGCCATCTGTACCCTTTTCAGGTGGCACCACCTCCTCAAACGGCGTCTTGAAGTGCTTCTGGATCTCCCGCCGGAGCTGATTGTCAAACCACTGCCGATCCTCAACGGTAGTGAGGCGATCCTTGAAGGTACGCATCTCCTCATGCACCCACAACCGCAGAAGACCGACGAGGTTTGATGTTGTCTTTGGCGTAGCCTTGAGCAGTCCGCTCATCACTTTGGCGAGATCACGGAGATTGAAAAGGTAGTGCGGCCTCGAGGGTGTCGGGCGGAGCTCCTTTGTGACAGTGTGGAAGATGTCAATTGATGCATTTACAATGAATGTAAGCTTCCCACGCACATCCTCACCGAAGGGTTTGAAATAGCTGTCCAGGATGGATACGAAAATACGTCTCATGTTGTCCTCATCCACCTCAGGGAAGGCGATGAGATTAAAGTGACGGAGAAAGCGCTGAGAGACATGCGTCCTACCTCCACCAGGAGGCCCCATAGCACCCGTAAACACAACATCAACAATGTTAAAGAACTCTCGTGTTTTGCGATCGTACCAGCCATGATAATCCATGTACTGCCGAAGAATCTCAATTGGAGGTTGGGCTCCATACTGCTCCTTTACCGGCATGTTTACATCATCAATAAGAATGACAAACTTCTTATTTACAGGGGCTCCCCAAATCTGCGGCGAAGCGCGGCGCCGGACCTCAAACTTGGAGAAAATGAGGTCCTGTGTCTGGTTTGCGCTGGTGCGAGCGGAAAACGTGAAGAAGATTGGCGTAAATTCTTTCGGCATCTCATTCATCAGCAGCTGCTGCAACAAGACTGTCTTTCCTGTACCAGTGGGACCACAACAAAGCGTATGGTACGAATTCTGAAGGAGAAGCTTGTTAATGTACTTGTACCGCGCCACGTCGGCAGTGGGGACAATGATTTCCGCAAAGTTTTGAGCTGTCACCTGCGAGTTGAAGGCTGGCAGGCGGTCTGTCCACAACACCCATCGAGCCTCATCCAAAACATATTCGTAGTCCTGAATACATCCAATTACAGGGAGGTCAATGTCCACCCCAAGATTGCTCAGCTCCATGCGTAGGAAGTGATCAAAGCGGCGGCGACTCTCCATGTCGCCTGTGGCCCCAAAAGACCACACCACAGAAAAGACGAAGAGATGTAGGTACACAGATTTCAGACGTTCCAGGCGATCCTGCGGCACCTCCATCGCACGAGTCGGTGTGAAGGGCAGCAGAAGTGCCTCAAAAATGTTGAAGCATGAGACGACAAGATTGGGCCAAACAGAGGGGCTGTACTCCGTCACCTCCTTCTGCACAATCTCGATCAATGCAGGAAAAAGTGTGGTACATAACTTTTCCAGATCATCCTTGTATGGGTCCATTGTGATGGGAAGTCGGTGCTGCCGCCATGTCTTGATAAAGGCGTTTACGCCAATGCATGTTGCGGGTTCCATGTAAATCATGCCTGCACGCGACACGGTAGCGGGTGACGCCACCGCAAGGTCCTCCACCTCAAACCAGCAACTCATGTAAGGCGTCATTGCGATGATTTCGCCAGAGATGAGACAAAGTTTCTTATTATCATCGAGCACCGTGTTCATTGATTCAATCCAAAGTGCATCTACAGGGCCGTCAAAGTAGATCCATTGCTTTGCATCTGTAGTCTCACGGGCGGCAATGCGAAACAACTCACCAATGAGTCCATCGCGCCACTCGCCCGTCGCATCATCGAAACCACCGTAGAGTTGTGCCATCGTAATAGATTTTGGGTTCAAACTATGCACCCGAACTTCGGCAAAGCGTTCTTGGTTCATTTCAACCCTTAGCTTCGTCATCGCAGCCTGAAGCACATGGGTGGCACACGTTTTCCCTCCCATTGTAGGTCCAACAATCATCTGCCCGTGGCGGAGGATATTCATCTCGTACAGTTGCACGCACTTCTTGACAAACATGTCAGTTGGCTCCAGGTGCATCTCCACAGCCTTCTCAGAGAGTACACCCAGCAAGGAGCCATAGTCGCGTGGGGGAAGCTCCACACCAGGGAACAGGTCAGAAATAATGCCAGAGAAAAGAAGAAGATCCTCTTCCAAAAATTTTGGCATATTGGAATCACGCAGTGCACGAAGCAGGAGGACATCCTCTTCTTCGTCAGGCGACTCACGCTTCATAAGACCCGCAGCGGAGATGACAGTGTTCACCGCACGCATACCAAAGTCGTAGTGATCCTGCGAAGAGAGCTGCTCTGAACTCAGCCTAAATGTTGCCACCATCTTTTGCGCCAGTGTGCGGGAGTTGGAGTAGCCGAACGAAAATAAACGAATCTCGGCAATCATGGCGTAATCTGGCACCATGCAAGCAACAGGGCGGAAGAGAACCTTCAAATTATCAGGCAACTCTGTACGACCTGCATAACCAGGATTCATAGTGATGAACACAGAATACGACGGGTCGACAATAATTTCTGTTCCCTCAAAGGCAATACGGTATTGTTTGCTGCGTGCGGCCTCCTGTAGCGAAGAGACTTGCTGCGCCACAACAGATAGAACCTCCACATCAATACGATTGAATTCATCAAAACATGCCCATGCACCCGCTTGAGCCAGTCCCTTAAAAAACTTTCCCATTGATGCATAAGTCATACCTTCTTGGCAATTAAACACCACGCACTGCTTGGCTACAGCCTTTGCAAGATCCTTTACTGTCTCTGTCTTGCCTGTACCAGCGGGGCCAGCTGGAGCACCACCAAGGAACATATGCATCGCACCTGTTAGTGTCAAATAAATGCGATCCGTCAGTGGTGTTACAACAAGACGTGTGGTGTTGCCAAGGTATTCACCACCGTAATGAAACTGTGCCTCTACCTGACGTAGATAGCAGTCGTTGCTCTCCCAATACGAGCGAAGCTGTGAAACCCATTCAAAGGCGTATATACTGTCAACTTTATCATCGGCCAGCTTCTCTACAATGTCCCTGGCGTGTACCTCAATCGTGATAAGACCGCTGATGTTCATGCGTTGCAGGTTTGACAAGGGTTGTCGCACCACTTCCACCAGCTCCATAAGGTTTTCCTTTGCCTTTGGGACATGTGGAATAAGTGATCCATGATCCTTAAAACTCTGTTCGCAGTCGCGTGTCCAGAGAATCTGATTGACGGCAATAGCTACCTGTCCAGGGGAGTTCAAGATAAGATCCTTCCTTCCTTTTGCTGCGCAGTTCTTCAGACCTTGTGCTAACTGAGAGCGAATAGATATCCTCATCATATGCTCAATCTCTGTTAACCAGTTCTCGATGTTTTTGCGAGGAATGATGGACTCGTCAAAGGGAATGTACTCCCGCATCTGCGAATACATGCCATACATTTCATTGTTGGGCTCCCGCATATCAATGACCATGATGTTCTCAAACAGCTTACGGAAATGTGGCTGAATTTTCTGTGGGTCACGGGCCTCGGAGAGTATTGTGAGCAACTCATCGTCTGAAAGAAAGTAGAAGCGTGCAAAGGAGGAGCGCTTGCTTTCTAAGTACTGGTTCAGGCCGCGCTGAATTAGTTCTAGAAGTTCATTATTCTCCTTGAACTTTTCCAGTGTTTCACTGATGATACAGAATCCCAGTGCGAGACCAGTCTTGTGGGCCCCGTTGGTGAGGTAATGCCAATTCTCATTCACCTTTTGGAATCGCTTCGCCTCCCGTGGCAGCTGGCGGGTAATGTCCTCCGACTGAAAAATAGGCTCCAAGTAAAGCCACGCCTTTTGACAGACCAGCCACTCGTCCATCACATTCTGCACCTGTTTAAGGGACGCCTCCCATGCCGCAATATCGTTCTCAAACATCTTCTTGAAGGGTGAAAATCCAAGTGACTGAGCAATAAGCATTTGATCATCGAGCTTTTCTTGGATTTCGTCCACGGCGTCTTTTGGTAACAGGAAGCATCCAGTAGACTTGTACGCCTGTACATTGAGTTGAACGTCTTCCCATTCCTTCTTCATCTTCTTTAGCGAGGTCTCGATCTGATACTCGCGTGCCGCCACTTCAGATATACGTAAGAGAATTTCTTCATACTCGGAGACTCGTAGTGTCTTGAGATCATTGAGAGAGATGAGCGTCTTGCCAGGTCGCACCTCGTGGCCAATTTCCTTCGAGATTTGGTCCCAGTGTCGGTCCTTGAGACCTTCGGTACGCAGGTACTTCACGAACGGAAGCATCGGCTTAAAATCCTCAATCTTTGCCTTTGTCTTTTGAGCAATGTCCACAAGTATCTCTGTTAACTTCGGGTCCCGGCTGCTCTTGGAGATGATCTGATAGTCCTTCATAACCCGTTGCTCCATCTCTTCGGCATCAATTTCAGCGAAGGGCTTGTTGTACCATTCCCGAATAGCAGTGCCCCAGTCGTTCACGGTGAGCCATAGTGATGCAAACGGCTCAAAATCAGAAGAAAGATCGCGCACCATCGTGTAGTCTGTTTTTTCCAGTACGAAGAGCGACTCGTGTGTGTTGAACGCGTTAGCCGTCTCGATAAGAGACTGAATGTGCTCCAGCACTACATGCACTTCCGCCACAATCTCGTTGATCTTGTTCACGTTTGTGCGACGATGGAAAGTACTCACTGTGTGCTGCATCTGTGCAATCTTCTCCTGGAATGCCTCCTGAGACTTGCGTAGGTTGATAGTGAGGCTGCGCTTGGTTTGCTCAAGCTCAAGCTGTCGCTGAATAATGTCGTCTTCAAGGCGGGCCGGGCACCCAATAGCCACCCACTTCCTGTTGAAGTCATCTTCTGTGAGTGGTACCTGAAAAGCGTCAAGGATACCATAGATCTGCTGAATTTCAGAAATCACAATCTGAAGGTCAAATACCTTCTCCGGAATTGTCTTTATGAATTCCTGCCGCTCCACCACCTCTTCTGGTGTCTCTGTGGGCCTAAGAAGAACATCACGAAGCTCACGGAAGCTTTCGGTCACCTCCGTTGACTTCAAGTTGGCGCGATGGAGCATCACATCGAGGAGTGCGTTGGAAATGTGCGAGCACTTGCTAGCCAGCCGCCGCTTCAGATCGGTGCAGTCCACTCTAAAGAGGCCAAGGTTCACAAATCGGGGAATTCGCTCGTTAATCTCCCCCCGCCGCTTGATGTGACGCTGAATCTCGGCCTCAACACCCTTCGTCGTGGTAAATTGTTGCTTGAAGTTCTCTACATACTGCGCCACGTCGAGTGTAACGAGTTCATCAAACTCCTCATACATAGCCAGATACTGATCAAGCGGTTCACCAGCACGTGCGAGAGCCTCGCGAAGACGCTGCATGCAAGCCTGTACAACCGGGTCACTCGCATCGACTGAAGGCACAAACGCAGTGGTTGGGTCATAAAGGAAGTTGAAAAGTCGGCGTTCCACCGAACGCACACCGGTGTGCAATGTCAGGGAGCGGCTTATAAGCTCAATTAGCACCTTGGAAAAGTCCGCTGCTGTGGTAGTGTACTTGAGCACGCGCGATTCACCATCAATGATGGCCACTTTAAACAGTGGTGTAATTCTAGTGTCCTTCTCGCCCCGCAGCGGTATCACTTCGACATTAGACATGCCGTGCACATAGACGGTGTATTGTGCCGCCTCTTCAATGAAGGAGGTAAACTCATTGAACGCTGCTGTCAACAGAAATCGAAGAGAGTCCTGCATCTGTAGTGTCACAGCACTCATAAGGCGTTGCGTCTTTGATCCCTCATATTCACTCTCGCGGACGTTCAGATTCACCTCATCACTCTCTGTACAACCGGCGAAAGCCCGTTTAATGTAGTCCGTGATATCCGGCACCCACCTTTCCCGAAGAAACTGGGCACTATCACGGATGAAACCAATCTGCGCCTCCTCAAACGCATCCATCGCTATTGGAGAAACTTCATCCATCGCCTCACCAACGCGAAAAACCTTCCGCAACAACAATGCGTCGTTTCCATCCCGCACACGCTGCATGATACCAATGATAATCCCGTTGCAGGCAGCCAGAGAATCCTTACGGAAGGCAGCTAGAACATTGCGAAAACAATTCTCCCGCAACGCGTAAACACCACACTTGCGGGGTTTCTTGGGTGACCGTTCCTCCGGCAGCATCGACCCGCTGAGCAGCTGCACAAGGCCGCCGTGCTTCATGATGTGCCTCATAAGTTCCAGGTTCATCACGCGAGAGTAGTCGGTGCGCACCTCCGTGAGCACCTTGTTTACCTCAAGAATGGCCTCATTCTCCCGCAATTTCGATGTACTGAAACACATTTGGTGAATACGCTCCAGTACAGGGGGATCAATGACCTGAAATTCATCAGGAGGGATAGACTCAACGTACAGCTGTTGCCGAAGTATGCTCTCTACGAGTTTTCGCATGTGAAACGCTTTTGTAAAACGCTCTACAAAATTACTTGGGTTCTCCGCATCGAGGCACACATATATTCGGGGAAGGAGGACCACGGTGCCCCCTTCTTGGGGCACACTTTTGTCGTGGCTATCGGAAGAGAGGAGTCGGACGGTCAATTCGTTTGTCTCCTCATCCCATGCCGTGACACTGCCACGAATCCAGCGCCACGCTCCAGCTTTCTGCAGCGCCTTGCACGGGATTCCACCTGATTCATCGCACTTCATCAGCCAATCCTGCGGAGACAGTTCTTCGTAACTCCTGTCGTCAAATGCTTGCAAAGGCAAGAGAGAGTGGTAGGAGCCCGGAACTTCACCTGTGAACTCACCATCCACAATAATGTTATTTTTCTTCAACATTGCCTCTACTGAGAGTTCGTCGTAGCGTCGACGCCAGCGCCTCATCACCTCTGCCCGAGGAAGATCACCCTTCACGGCCTCATACGGCACCATAACCTTTGGCTCCTCACTGAGGGGCACTTCTTCCTCCATGGCGTACCGCCCCTGTACCGGCTGCGACCAGGGCATGGGCTTCGGGGCCGTGGGGGTAGATGAGTCCTCGCGCAACCACGGCGGCTGTTGCTCCTCGCTTCCTGTCCCATCCTCACTACCATCACATTTCTCCACCGCACTCTCGACCAACGTGGTAACCTCTTGGCACAATGGCTCAAGAGAGGCTTGCACAAAAGCAGACGGGGCCCGCTGTTGCTCTTGCTGTTGCAACTGCACGAGGTGTGCGCGGCGGAGAGCAATTAGTTCCTTATAGGAAATGGACATGTTGACTGCTAGAGCTCTGCCACTAAACACTACAGAGAATAAAGCCAGACAACAACAAAGAACAGGACAACACAGCAAACATTAAAAAGGGATAAACAGACAGCAATAAGAAAATGAAATCAATTTATCATGTCCACCCTCACTAGAGGACGTGCCATGCAGAATTATAAAGAAAGAAAGGGGAAAAAAAAAGGCCATGAAGCCGCTTAAATAAAGTGGAACATGACAAACCCATGTGCTTACAGCGTCCGAATCCTTACTTGGTACGGGACACACCAACCGTCTTGCCGTGGCGACCCGATGTGCAAGTGTGCTGGCCACGGACACGGAGACCGTAGGCGTGACGCACACCACGGTGGGCACGGATCTTGCGGAGACGCTCCAAGTCCTCACGGAGGCGTGTGTCAACCATAGAGCTGGTCAGGTGCTCCGTCTTGCCGGTCTTGGGGTCGCGCTGACGGTTGAGNCGCTCCAAGTCCTCACGGAGGCGTGTGTCAACCATAGAGCTGGTCAGGTGCTCCGTCTTGCCGGTCTTGGGGTCGCGCTGACGGTTGAGGAACCAATCAGGGATCTTGAACTTCGCCGGGTCCGTGATGATGTCCGAGATCTTCTCCAGCTCCTCAGCGGTCAGAGTGCCAGCGCGGCGCTCCACATCGACGCCCGCCTTCTTGCACACCATGTACGCAAAGCGGATGCCGATACCCTTCACCATGCGGAGCGCAAAGGGCACCTTGCGCTTGCCCTCCACGTTGGTGTTGAGGAGACGCACGATGTGCTGGAAGTAGTCAGGCTGCAGGGTGAGAGACATGGCGTTTGTCTTCCTACGGGGGGGGGAGGGGGAAGAGGATGAACAACAGGCGGAAACAAGTCATCCACTGCACTTCTGCATTTAAAACAAAAAACAACGAGTCAATCTTGGTCGCATTCCCTACAGAAAGCTACACAGTATCGATGTAAAGGATGTAAAACGAAGGAAAAGGAAAACATACTCTTCATTGGCAAGCACGCCCCCACAAATGAAGCAGACCACCTTACTTGGTACGGGACACACCAACCGTCTTGCCGTGGCGACCCGACGTGCAAGTGTGCTGGCCACGGACACGGAGACCGTAGGCGTGACGCACACCACGGTGGGCACGGATCTTGCGGAGGCGCTCCAAGTCCTCACGGAGGCGTGTGTCAACCATAGAGCTGGTCAGGTGCTCCGTCTTGCCGGTCTTGGGGTCGCGCTGACGGTT